CTCTTTTAATCCTCAAGTAGTTAAATTATTAACATTAACCCACTAAATTTATAATTATAGAAGGAATGGTTCAAAACGTCCCTTAAAACATTTAAAGAAATCCGACGTCGCCTGGGATTACGCAGCCTGTGACGGGCTGTCGTGCCTGCGACGGTCCGTCCTGCTGCTCCGTCACAGAGTTCAGAGACTCCATTCCATATCAAGGGTCTGTGACGGTTCGTCGTGCCCACGACGGTCCATCCTGCCATTCCGTTACGAAGTTCAGAGAGTCGATTTCAGTACATAATTTTCAGAATTCTAAGTGTTTTGGAACGAGACACCCTCGACGGTCCGTCGTGGGTTCCGTCGTCTCCGCCAGTTTTTCCAGAATTAAAATCTTCTGCTCAAAACGACTAAACAGGTCGTTACAGTACCTTTAGAGTTACATATTCCTTTCAACATTGAATACGCTGAAGGTATCATGCAACAAGAAGACGATAGCCTGTAAGTATTTTCAATTCTGGTCTACAATATATGTGTAAGCTATTTTACAAATTTATTATTACATATTTTGTTGTAGGGACTGCGGGTTATACGTAGCAACATTTGCAGAGTTTTTGAGTGACCAACTTGTTATACCACCTGATAGTGATGGACATCTAGCAAATTACCTACGCAATAGATATGCTGCATTGTTATGGAGATAAGACGGCGACAAGGTCAATGGTGGATACATAAGTGGTAATGACGATCCACCAAAGCCTAAGGGCCAATTCACAACACCAACTGAAGATGACATTGTTAACATAGATTAGTAATTAGCTGGGACACGATGAACAAGTTTATATGTTGTTTTGTGTTGAAGACAATTATCTTTTGTGTTTTTCTAAAAGCTTATTGGTATTACAATAGTTTGTTAGATATTAATGTTATGTTTTTTCAAGTTATTGTTTTAGACACAGTTGTTGCTTTATAACATTAAGGTACAAAATTTTTAGTGTTTCAGTGTAAGTAATTTTGACAGCTAATTTACAAAATAAAGTATATGACACTTAAGTTCTAATGTGTATGATAAATTATTATTTAAGTTTTAAGTATTTTTCACTTATAAAAATGATGTATATGATACATAAGTTATAATATATACATGTACAAATATTGCAGTTATATATTTGGCAACTTGAATTATACGAATGTATATGATATATCATATACATAAACAAACTAATCACAAATTAATATTATAGTGCAAAGCACCACTAGAATGTAATATATCAAAATTATAGTTCATAAGGCAGTACACACGAAACATGTAGTACACATTTGAACAAGTCAAGTTTTGGGACACTAGATTAACTCATCAGGGAGTATACACGAAAAATATAACATATTTTCAATCATATGAATGTATCTGATACATAATATACTTAAATAAACTCATCTTGAATTACTGTTACATTGAAACCCAACACTGTTGAATATAATATATCAAATTTATAACTTATAAGGATGAATACACGAATCATATAGTAAACAATTGAACAAGTCAATTTTTTTGTACACTTGAATAACTCAAAGTACAATATACACGGAACATATAACATATTTTCAATAATATGTATGTATATGATACATCACATACACAAACAAACTCCTATAACATTACTGTTACATTGGAAACACACCACTGTTGAATCTATTTATTTATAAAATTTGGAGTTTAAATTTGGCACATAATTAAACTGCAAAGTCATATATTTGGACATCAAATTAAGTTGTGTAACCAATACACTTTATTTAGTCCAAATTCTAAAGAAAAAAATGGATATAAGTACCATGAACACTAATGTCCTTCTTTAAAACATTCTTTCAATTCTCTTTCGGGAAGAAAGTACAAGTTCTCCTGTTATGTCCTTCTTGTCCACACTGCCCACAACAATTATTGTTCACTGTTATTTTCTCATCCGCATTTTTCTTTCTTCGCTTTTTTGGTCGTCCAGCCAACCTTCTATACCTAGGTGGCCATACAATTTCATCTAAAACATATTCTGGAACGTTCCAATCCTCCTTATCTGGCATTGGAACCATTACAACCTCGTACCTTTTTTCTAATGCATACGACCTGTAGTAATCAGAGAAATATGGGTGCAAATTGGTAACGTTCTTGTGCTTCAAAGTTGCAATTGCATGTGTGCGAGGTATCTCATCATGTTGAAACCTTCCACATGTGCAAGTTTTCTTCTGAAGGTATACAATGTATCTTTTTCTGGCTTCATGAACTGTGAAAATATATTCAAATGATGGAATAACCTAAAAATTTAAGAAGTTAGTGATACATTACGTAATATACAATTTATATATCATTTTCAAAACAACACTTAACATTGAAAATCAGTTTCTATATGATACATAAAACAGAAATTTAAGGAAATTGATAAATACCTTCATCTTTGAACTTTTAGATGCGTTTACAATCAATATCTCCTCAAATCTTCGACCCAATGTGTCCTTTGTATATGACGCTATTTCTCTATTTTTATAGTTCCAACTACCAAATAGAAGTCTAGCTTCCTCCAAGAAGTCTATTATAGTTAACTTACGTGCATCGACAAGGCATCCATTGATACACTCAGTGATGTTCGAAGTCATCATTCTACCTCTGTTTATGGTTGAATGAACTCTTGACCACTTCTCATAACCAGCTTCTTCAAGGTAATCCTTCACCCTATGATCAACTTTCACAACCTTAGCCATTAATTTATCAAAATCTTCCTTTCTGTATGCTTTTGCCATTGAGTAAAACATATCAATTAGTGTTTTTTTACTCCTTTTGAAGCTTGAACATACATTCTTCCAAAGATGCCATATGCATGCACAATGAGGTACATTTGGGTATACAATGCTTACACTCTTTATGATACATTCATTTCTATCCGATATAATACACATGTTTTCACGCTCACCAAATGCATTTTTGAAATGTTCGAAGAACCATGTCCACGAATAGTCATTTTCAGTGTCTACAACACCATATTCCAATGGCAATATGCATCCTAATTACAAAGACTATCACATTAAACTTCACACGATACACAATGTTTACACTAATATATATTAATATAAATATAAAATAAGTTATACATTACATCAGAATTATAACACATACCTGCACCATCGAGTGTGCTTGCTGATACAAAACTACCCTTGTATGCCCCGCCAAGATGTGCAGCGTCAACTACAACTACAGACGTGTAGTAGTCAAATCGTCTTATCAACGGTCTTAGGGCTATGAACAGATACATGAATTTATTATCTTCCGTCCTTTGCATTCTTATATATGAATTTGGATATACTTTATTTAGCATCCATATGTATCTCGACATCTGTTTATATCCTTCGGATGGCTTACCCTTGGGCATTTGTAGTGTACATTCTCTAGCACGCCATGCTTGTTGGTACGATATCTCAACCCCATACAATTCTCTAATATCTTCAATTACATCTCGAGGTGTATGGATTCTTTTATGATTTACCAATTTAGGGGCAGTCACACCACTAATAAATCTAATTGTTGCTTGTACTTTTGTTAGTATCCTATCCCGCATCGGACATGTATGTTCACTATTGAAATATCTCACATTGAATACATCAGATTTTTTTCTGCAAGATGATTTTAAGGTCCATCCACATTGGTCGCTGAAGCAAACCAACACATAGCTGTCCAAAATTTTTTATTGGTTTAATTCACAGCAAGATATAGACTGCTTATAATTATGTATCAGATACACTATAAATAAAAAATATAATAGAGAAAAACAATTAGATCATAGAGTGAGCATTCAAATACCTTTTCTTATCCGATCTTTTCACTCGAAAATTGAAGTTGTTCTTTATTTTATATTTAGCCATTACAGCAATGAGTGTTCCTTTTTCCTTATACAACTGCCCAGTCTTCACTTCAGTACTATTGGAATCAGTTATGTAATTCGTAGCATTCAATTCTTGAATATAATCAATGTCACAAATTCTCGACTCGACCAAAGCAAGAGCTTAAGTATCTCTTTCGGTACCTTCCACGCATACAACTTCACCCGATGAACAATCAAAATTACGTATCTCCCCAACAATTTTATCAGTTGTATCAATACAAAGCGGATACATGCTAATTTCAGATGCATTCTTTTTTACTTCGAAATAAAGTTTCACAGCCATGTCGTTTTTGATTTTCAATAGACATGAGCTTCCCTCGACAATGTATCGTATTTCAATATCCTTTGTAACAGTGTCGATCTCAGGCTCTGATAAAATCAACATTTTCAGATTAACAAATGACATGAAATGGCCAACAACAATTCCATCAACTTTGTAACCTTCATAATTAACATCGCTTACCCAAATTCCAGAATGCCGCAACAGAATTGAGATATTCATCTTCAAAACTTTTTTTTTGAATTCTTAGTATGCAGATCAACTTTTACAAGAATAATTTTGAATTATGAAGCTAATCTGATTTAAAATTTGATTTTACTAATCAGTTACGCAAGCTGTAGAGCATTAATTACGTAGTTTCAGTTAATAATAACAGAAATAACGGTAATTAGTCCTAATTAATCGCAGCAGATGTCCAATATGATGTATCAGGACTTATGTATCCTGTGCCAATTGGATGTATCCCGCTTCCTTGAATTTTAAGGGATTTTTAGTAATTTCAATTCTAAAAGGGATAAAGGTCATTTTGTATTTATAATATGTGGTTCCTATAATTTTTATTATTAATTAATGTGACATGCGGAGTTGGGCCTAGGGACAATTAGGCTGAGTCTAAAAAACGAAATAGGTTGGGTTGAATTGATAGGGGAAATTCTGAAAATTGACATGGGTAAAGAGCCTGGGCATTACTTAGGAATTTGGTGGGCTGGAAATTGGCCAATAAATGGCCCCAAAATTGTGACGCAATTTTAGTTGAAGGATTTGTAAAAATACAGCTGCATCGAACTAACTTCTTTATTGAAATAAAATTAGTCACCGATTTAGATGACATTAAATAAGGCAAATTTATAAAAATTAATTAACGAGCTTCTTAATTTCGACGAAATAAAATAATTAATTTAACTTTAAATTACATAAATTTCAAACATATAATATTATATAATCGAACTAATTAGTAAAATATTTAAACGAAGTAAATATTTTTGAGGCGGTTTTCGAATAAACATAAAATGCACTAATAGTATGCATAATTATGTAAATCATATATCTCATCTAAAAAAAGATAAGTTTGATTTAAAATAACTTAAAAACATTTAAGACTTTATAAAAACTTAACGATTTAAAAATCTCTTGAGATTAAGAAACGCGTCAATTAATAATTATTTCAGAGAGGTCAAAATTTGGGTGTCAATAGTATTAACCAAAGTCCAAGCAGCAATCAGGTTTGTGAGTGTTGTGACTGCTCCAAAATTGGTCAACCATAAACGAATATGTACTCCAAATGATATAATTGATGATATTAGATAATTCAATGGGGTTGAAATATCTTACCAGCAAGCATGACATGGGAAAGAACATGCACTAGAAAAGATAAGAGAAACTATCTACATGATATATAAGGTTGCCGAGATACATAGACATGTTCAATACCGTGTATCCAAATTGTTATTTAAGAATGCAGAAGACTGAGGAAGTTAATGTATGTATCTTTTCGTAGCCTTGAGACCATTGATTAGAGGATTTGATTACTGTAGACCAGTAGTTGTTGTCGATGCTGCACACCTAAGTGAAGCTTACAAAGGGACATTTGTATCAGCAAGCACACTACATGGGGCAGGTATATTTTTTTTGTAATTGTGATTTGTTTGTACATGTTACATATCAAATGATGTAATGTGTTTCTGTAATAAGGTTGCATATTTCCATTGGCATATAGTGTTAATTACACTGAAAAATGATTTATCGTGGACATGATTTTTCGAACAATTAGAAAATGCATATGGTGAGCAAAAAAATATATGTATTCTATCAACTAGAAATGAGAGTATTATGAAGAGTGTAAAGATTTTGTTCCCTAATTTACCTCATTATGCATGCATGTGGCAGAAGAATGCATATGGCAACATCAAAAGGAGCAGGAATACCCTAAGTGAATAATTCTACTCTATGACTAAGACATACAGAAAAGAGGATTTTTATAAATTGATGGCTAAGGTAGATAGAGTTGATCAAAGGGTTAAGGAGTACCTTGAGGATGCAGGGTATAAGAAGTGGTCAAGAGTTTATTCAACAGTAAATAAAGGCAGAATGATTACTTCAAGCATTGCAGAATTTATCAACGGTTGTCTTGTTGAAGCAAGAAAATTGACTATATTAGAAGTCTTGGAAGAAGTTAGAATTCTATATGGTTCTTGGCATTGCAAGAACAGAGAAATAGCCCGTATACAAAGGATACATTAGGGAGAAAATTTGAGGAGGTATTGATTATAAATGCATCCAAAAGTTTAAAAATGAAGGTATGTATCATGCTATTTTTGTATTATATGTATCTAATTCATTGTATCATTTTTCATTTTGAACACGGTTTATTTGCAAAATAATTATATATTTGATTTTTTAACGTACTCAGGTTATTCCATTATCTTAATTTATTTTATTAATTTATGATTCTGGAAAAAAATACATTGTTTGTCTTGAATTAAATGTATGTTGTTGTGGAAGATTTCAACTAGATGAGATACCTAATGCACATGCAAACACTGTTTTAACAGAAAAGAATGTCAAAGATATGCATCCATACTTCTCTGATTACTATAAATCTGATGCATTTGCAAAAACATACGAGCTTCAAATGGTGCCAATGTCAGATAAGACAAATTGGTCACCTCCTAAGAATGTTGTAGCTGAAACTGTGTATCCACCTAAATACAGACGATTATCTGGAGACCAAGGAAAAGAAGAAAAAAGAATACAAATGAAAAAATTACGGTGAACACAAATTTTTGTTAACAATGTGGACAAGAAGGACACAACAGAAGAACTTGTAGTTTCTTCCCAACAGAGAAGTGAAATTATTGTAATGTTTCTAAGACATTACTATGTTTGTTGAATAATTTTTCATGTAAACAGTTTTCATTTTAAGTATTTTTTTCATTTGCTATTAATCATTATTGGTGTTGAAAATATGCTTATTTATAATTTGTGTTAAATAATGTTTAACTTGCAATTTTATATATACTTTATTATGATTTGTGTTGAAAGATATATTTGTGTCCATATTCTTTTGTTAAAGATAATTTGTAATTCTTATGTTACACTATGGGATTCCTTTAATTTTTTCAAAACAAAAATTGTTTCTAAACAAGCAGAGGAACAATTGTTGAAGAACAACGTATTACATATGTATCATGTGCATTAGCTAAATGTATCTTGTACATTTAATTTTATAACACTTGTTAAGGTTACTGTATAATTTACAATGACTATAGATCATGTATCATGTAATGTATATTAAGTATCATATCAAATATTTATTTGATACATACATCAAACAACTATTTTACAACTATTTGAGTTGGATCATGTAATTTAGTTTTCAAAAGCTATTTATTACTAACTGTTTAATATATCTGATTTATAAAACTTGTACTACACTTTTTCATTGGGAAATGTCATAATGTGACCGAAATCTAACTTTTTAAAAGCAAAAATACTTGTTCCATAATGTATCAAAATACAATAAAGCTTCAATGAAATTATCAAAATGGGTAAAAACACATAAACATTTTTTATGCACATATACTACTCTATATGAACCAAATCTTCTTCTGGTGGTGGTGAGTATACACCCTTAGATTTTGGTGAATCATCATTATCACTAATGTCACCACACTTGGCCTTCTCGCTGCCAAAACTCCAATACAACTCTCCATATCTTTTGCATAGGTATTTAGGAGGTAAATTAACAAATTGCACTTCGATTTGGTCACTCAGATACTCATGAAATGCAACAACATATACCCCACCATCTCTACGGAAAAGCAGAATTTTAATTATAAAGTGAAATGATACATGAGTAAAAACTACGAAATCATAATACTTACAGGCTATCGCTCTTCGATGGTACAATATCTTGTGCATATTCAACATTGAAAGGAATGAGTCTTCAAGAGTGAACCAATAGTGTTGTCCTTGTTTGCATGACGATCACCAAAACACTTTAGACAACACTTTTATCTCATGCGGAACTATTTTTTCCTTGAGCCTAATGATGAGTCAAACACTCTTATCACCCTGTATTTTAGTTCAACAACAGCCATCACTCAATGAAATTCTTGACCGCAATTAACCGGGATGTATACCTCATCTACAAGTTGTCATGGTAAAGCACTTGGAATTCCAAAACCTTGGATAATGTTAATTATTGACCGCTAATATATAGATACAACTGAAGCGCGATCATCGTGTTCTTGGGTACTAAAACTATGTTAGCCATTTAATACCTATCATAATAATTTTTCACATATGAAATGAACAAGCAGTGGTTGTTGTGTATCTGTATTGATCCATGTTGCAGAATTTTGATTTTTTATGGAGGTAGTAAAAAATCACATCGATGTGCTTTGAAAAACACGATAAACAAAATTATAAATTATAAACTTCATAACAAGATATGATTGATACATTAAATGATAATCTTAACTTAAACTAATTTAATTTTTTGATACTTCAATTTAGTGTTTCTGTTTGAAAAAAAGTTCTGGTGATATAACGTAAATTCTGGTGGTGATACATTAAATTTCATCATGATATTATGTATCATGTTATACTAAGATAAGATTATATGATACATGTTTAATAATTTCAGTAAGAACTTTACCTCATTAGTCCAACATATGTTTGGTTGTGACATGACGTAGAACTAATTATTGTTTATTGGAAAAGAAACAACAAAGTCCGTCATCTTAAATCTTAAAGAAGAGGATTTTAATTTGTATTTATCCTCTGATGATTTCCTGCGAAAATATTTGTATCATGAATATGTTATATATAAATTAGTTAAAACAAACATTTACAAAATATATGCATGAGACTTAATTATTGTCATGATTTTTAAGGAGCCCGCGAGATAACCACTACATATAATCATCAATAAGTTCTGAGGAAACTTGATTTGTAATCCCACGTCCTTCAAATGGGAAATAGAGACAAACATTATCCTTCAAATTCTCTTTTGCATTCTCACTTGACCCAAAAAAATGCAATATGAAGATTGAATATTTCTTGAATGCATTCTTATTCTAGTCGCAGGAATGATTGAATCGAATCTAACAACAATATCGATTATTGGTATATCAGTGGGTAATTGATTATGAAACAACAAGTTCTGGCTGTCACTTAAATCCTATGAATTTATGACCGACAATGTTCTAGCAGGAATA